AAAATTATTTTAATTAATTTAATATATTACCTGGATCGATTAAACATTCATTGACACAATGTGGTAAGTGTAATATGATAGTTACTGAATCGTTGAGTTTGGTGTATGATGTTGTTAAGAATGTTGGTTTCGAGTCTGATACTACTTTGTTGACGAATCTACCTACAAAATCGACATTATTCTTTGAAAGTTTAATATAACTGAGATCATATTGATTTTTGAGATTTTCAGTGTCTAATCGAGTTTCTTTACTGTTGCAATCATCATTGGTTAATTCGGTTGTGTTTGATTGCATTTCGAGTTGAAGTGTGTTTAAGAATGATTGGTATTTATAGTTTTTAATTGAAACTGTGAATTTAATTGAGTTGTTGGTGAGTAAAAAGTCGATTCCTGCAAATGAAACTGATTTATCGTTTTCAATTTGTTCGATGGTTGATATAACTTTGAATTCGTCTTTGTTTGGTGATTGTTCGAATGTATAAATGTTTGATTGTGTTTTGTTTACTGTCCAATCTGATACTAATGGATAACTCTTGACAATATTATTATTAATATCTATTTCATTTAATGATTTGAGATAGATTTTAAAGTTGATTCTCTCATTTTGAATATCTACAATACCTGTGCTGTTATCTACATTTGATGTTGGTGGCTCAGTTGTGGTTGTATTATCTTTATTTCCACTATCGATTATTGATCCACAATCAAATGATGTATATCCTAAATAACAATCACATTTACCATTTGATGTATTACATTTACCATGTGATGAACAGTTCTTTGGACATTCGAATATGTTTTGTGGTACTTTTGAATAAATATAAATATCTTTACCAATATAAACAATATTGTTTTGAGTGATATTGACACTGTGAATACCTTTGCCTGGTGGTGCTGTGCAATTAATTAAATCGTTTGAAGAGTGTGTAACTGGACATGTTTTTGATCCGATTATAACTGATAATTGGTTGTGTTGTTCACCGAAACTACCATAGAAGCTTGCTTCACCACCATTTTCATTTGATGGGTTAACTGATGTAATATAGTGTTGACTGAACTCACATTTGTCACCACCGAATCCATTATCACAATTACAAATACCATTGATGTATCACAATGACCTTGGGATGAACATGTTGGATCTGCACATTCGATGTATAATTCTGAACAATCATCTTGAATATAATTGGCATCACATTTACAAATACCAGTATTTGTGTTGCATTGACCATGTGAGCTGCAGTTGTTTGGACATTCGATGTATAATTCTGAACAATCATCTTGAATATAGTTGGAGTTACATTGACAAATACCAGTATTAGTGTTACATTGACCGTGTAAGCTGCAATCGCTTGGACATTCTATGTATAATTCTGAACAGTCTAATCCTCTATAATTTGTATTACAATCACATTTGCCTTTAAAAAAACAATTAATAAAATTATAATAATTATAATAATGGTTATAAAATTATTTTAAAATTAGTTTTACTTTTTGATTCGTTACAAAAACCATGGCCACTACAATCGTTTGGACAACCTACACAAGTACCAGTGCTTAAATCGCAAATATCTCCTGATGGTGAGCCTACACAATCATTTGGACATTGTTTATTATTGAGTCTATTGTTTTCGAAAACTGCAAATACTTTTTTAGTTTGATTATCATTCTTTATTACAACTAGTTGTTTTTCTGATGATAATGTAACTGATGTGATGCAAGTAAAGTCGGTGAATCCAGTTTTAGTAACTGGACAATTTGTACCTGCAATAGTTATAGTTTGTACTGATTGACCTAAATAACTTGAGAAGAATGTGCCAACTGCAGAGACTTTATTATTTTCAGTTGTAATAATTGATGTAAAAGTTGGTGGTTTACTGACTAAGGCAAAATTATAGTTTATATTATTACCAATATTAATTAGTTGGACAGAATTCATATTCAGGAGACTGGAATCTTGATTACAATAATATTCATAACCATATCTAATAATTGATTGTGGAACAGGTTTACATCGGTTAGATGGTATCATTGAACCAAGGAAATAATAGTTAGGTTGATGGCCAATATCAATACCGCTAATTATAATAGTTGTTTGATTATGGTATTTAACTTGTGGTCTATAAGTTGTACATGGAATAGTTTTATCTAAATTGGTAAAACTATTACCTGCAAATCTATCAAACATTGTTGGCATTGAAAGAAAACTGTTTGGACCCGAAATTTCAGTAGTCATTTGAAGTGAGC